TGGACGAAGCTATGAAGCTAATTTTTGTTTATGCCAAGTGTGACTTGTGTAGACACTTAGTTTGCATCTGTTTGCAAAAGGCATATTTCCAAACTATAATTTAGGAGTAAATGAAAGGAAAGGCATCACACCTATCATTGTGAACGCTGTCAAGTTTAATGCCATATTTAGAAAATAGACCAAGTACTGGCATGTCCCCTTTGTGGTTCAGAAAACATTTTAAGTTCAGAGAAAGCAAGGAAGGTTAACCAGTTATCAGGATACAAAGGTGTCACATTTTGATGTCTCGTGTCAAGACTGTCAAACAGCAAAATACTGGCGGACAGCCTCTAACTTCAACATTGGAGAGCTTTCCTTCATGTCAGTGAAACTATGCCTGTGAAACATATTACACAGGAAAAGCTTCTCATGAATCTTATGCAATACTTCTTTACAGCAAAGACATATCCTGGGCAGACACCAAAAGTCTGAAGAAATTGTAATATTTAGAGAAAGGAAATGAAAGGAACAAAGGGGAATGGGAATGGGATGAATGAGGAGACTTGGGGGCTAGTGTTTCAATTTATTTATTCCTCCTCTGATCACTTTAAATAATGTTGCTTTTTCCCATACATCTCAAGAACAATCTGGGCTTTTGCTTGCAAAGATTTCAGGTTTACACTACCACACCCACCTAAACCAAACTATAGTGTTTGCTCTGGAATCCATCTCTCACTGAGGAGGGGATACTTAAGGCACTTCTCAACAGCATGTTTACTGAGCACTCGTCCTGATTTGTTTTCAGGGAAGCTAGATTACGGCTATTTCATGAGCGCTCACTCTGATTTGTTTGCAAACAGGCTAGACAACTTCAGGGCCGGATCTTACACATTTGGCTACTTGCTCTCCTGCAGGGTCATGTGGCAGAGGGGCAGGGGCAGGGTGGAATATGTCTGAATCTGCAGACTCTTCTTATGTTCTTACGTATATTGAATGTATATTAAGTGCTTTGGGCGACATCAGGCTTTTATTCACCTGATCACCTTCCAATGCCGTTCGTGCAATCATCTGCCAGCATTCCCTTCCTGCATTCTGCATAGGAGAAGCAGGTCAGTCCTTACCTAAAAGAATAAAATGGGTGTACAATTCTGGCATTAGAAACAGTAATGTTCAAAAGCAAGTTGGGAGAACATTTCAACCTTCTAAGATATTCTGTAAGCATAGCTAACCTCTGGAAACTATTACTAGTATTGTTTTTAGAGCACCATTTTTATAATGGGTAACTTTTTTATTTCTACTGAGATTGATAGTATAATAGCTGTTTTAACTGGCCTGAGTTTTACCATGTTGATAATCTGAAATTTGGAGTGTGTGTATTTATGATGTGCCGGATGCCTCGAATAACCAACCTGTTAAAGTGACTCTAAAAATAAATAGCAAAAGATACCATAGTACAAACTTAACCACTTTACTACTCACCCCTAACTCTAGATCATTTATGAACAGGTCCCAACACTGATTCTGGGGCCAGGGGCCAGGGAGGACTCCACATTCTACAACCTTCCATTCAGAAAACTGTCCATGTATTCCTGCCCTCAGTTTTTTGCTGCTTAACCAATTTATATATCCTGCCCTTCTTCCAAGAAGTTTAAGGTGGCCCATATGTTTCTTCCACCCCTCGTAGAATCTGGACAATCCCATGAGGTAAACCAGGAGGAAGGAAGTCAGTCTGGTAACAGTCAGTATAGCTGAATAGGGATATGAACCTGGATCTTCCTGTGCCTAACCCCTACCTCACACTGTCTCTCACAGAGGCAGTTTTCTCTTAAATCATAACAAATAAAGCTTTTCTACCTCATGCCTGAGGAATCTACTCACAGTGCTCCTGCATGAATCATTTATGGGTGCAACCCCGCTAAGGGCAGGTAATTCTGCCACAATCTCTGCACAAGTCACTGAATGATCCAGACACATCACAATGGACACAACAAAATTACTCATTGGAAGGAAACCAGGAAAGAATCTAAAGAGGACAGCCTCCGACAAGGGCTTCTGGAGGCCTTTATTGATTTTTCAAGGTACTTCATTGTGGCAAAAAATGCACCTACCTCCTGACAATGCTCTGCATTTAAAGGGAGATAATAGTTAGAAGGATTTTAAGATGCAAGCATTTGCACTGATATACAGTGGTACCTTGGGTTACATACGCTTCAGGTTACATACGCTTCAGGTTACAGACTCCGCTAACCCAGAAATAGTACCTCGGGTTAAGGACTTTGCTTCAGGATGAGAACAGAAATCGTGCTCCGGCGGTGCAGCAGCTGGAGGAGGCCCCATTAGCTAAAGTGGTGCTTCAGGTTAAGAACAGTTTCAGGTTAAGAACGGACCTCCGAAACCAATTAAGTACTTAACCCGAGGTACCACTGTAATAGCTGTTCATCTGACTTCATCATGAAAGCCAAAGCAGGTGACTGGCTAGGATAGCCCATTTTGACATCTTGCCTAGGACAAGGCCAGAAACAAGCAATAGAGAGTTTCAAATTTTGGTATGCCTAAATGCTGACCTAAATCCTAGCAGGATCAGCATTTAAGCATACAAAAATTTGGAGATGCTTAGCCTCTTATTTCTGTTGTTCCTTTTCAGACAATAGGACAATAACTGCACTGGAAAGAAAAATGACGTCTCTTGGAATAACATAGTTATTGGAATAACATAGTGCAAGATAAATTAAATTACATTCTTGTGGATGAAATTTCATTTTCAAGACTCGACACATTTTAATGAAAATTATGAGAACTGCTGTAATACCCTGATATATCCTCCTGTCTTACCTTATCTTACTCATATTAATCATTGCATTAATGGTAGCTACAGTTGACTAATTCTGTTGGACTTTTACTTTGTATTTCTTATATTCACAACTGGTTCTTACATTATTATTGTTATGCTGTTGGGGATACACATAAATTGCAATATTTGTTATTTTATCTAATACAGTAGAAAGGGGGGAAGCAAGAACAAAATGCTGCCAGCCTATCTCCCAGTTATTGCATGCCTCAGCTTTGAAATCCTGACTTGGCCTTAAAGAACTTGAAATGCAAGTGTTTGGTTGTTAAGTTACTTCACTCCTAAGACTCCCCTACGCATGCTTTCAGCGGGGGCAGGTGGAAGAGAAATCATCCTTGAGATTCGACCTTATCTAAGACCATCATGCACATTCAGGAATTCTCAACAGCTTTGCTTTGCCAAAAGTTAAATAGTGGTAATAGCTTATTTCCTGCCATTATAGCAAGTGCCTCTCTTATTTATTTTTGCTCTGTGCAAGGTCCTAAAAATACTCTTTTAGCTTTCTGTACACAATTCCAAGCAGCAATCACTTCTTAACTTTATATGAATTATGAGGGTTTCCAGAGAACTGCTCTACTTTTAAATACCCTCCCATTAATATCTACAGTAGCACATGAATTTTGGCTTTCCAGCAGTTCAAGGGAGTTGACAGATCACAATGTTACCTTGTAAGGGCACTTATCACCGTAAATCCACCCACAAAAGGTTTTTCCTCAGGATAATGGCTGTTTTGGTGATTCATCTTACAGACCCTGCCCTTCCTTATTTGCACAAAATATCCTACACCCAGCAATAATTTCTGGGTCAGGCTCATGCCACACATGTGATTTCCTTTTGGACACAGAGACAAGAAAAGATTAAGTGAAATGCTTAGACCTCCCTAGGTGAACCTCCCCCACTTCAGCTGCTGGGTCATTTCAAGGGCTACTAATAGGATGTTATCAGATTCAGTGAATATTCTCAGGGGCGCAGCTGATTGTCTGTGCCAGGCAGAGTTTACTGTTGTCTCACTGAGGGAGGAGAGGGGAAAATAGTACTGCTGTTGTGCTGGAAAATTTCACTGTTTCTGTCTCTAGTGGAAAACAGTTATCACTAACACATCCTGGCATGTAATTTGCCTCATTTATTATTGTCTAGCACTGGCTTAGAAATGCACAATAAGCACTAAGGTACTTCCAGAGAGTTGCAGTTATTTAAGGAAACTTTATGCTGGGATGCCAAGAACTTTCAGATTCCCGCCCCCCAAAACATTCAGACTGAGACACACCTTCAAGACTTTGAAAAAATATAGCTCAAATAAAACTTACACTGACAAAGAGGATGACTTAAGTGCAATAAAAGACCTTGATTCTGTCCCTGTTTCCATCACATATCACTACAGACAGGGAAAAAATAACACAGGTTTATAGCCTTTAATACAGTGAATAGGGTTGCATACTTTACAAGGCAATCATACATGTGTTTACTCAGAAGTAATTCTCACTAAGTTCAGTCAAATTTATTCCCTAGTGAGCGGGGTTATATTGCAACTTAAAAAAAATAAATCGATAGTTAATTATAACTTTGATAACATTAAATTGTTCTCCAATGTGGAGTTTGGCAAAAAGGACAAGGTCCAGCATCTGTGACTCTGAAACGACCCACCACTAAGCAATTTACACACACGTGTGGTGTCCCACCTCCGGGGCCAAACTGGACGGGGGGAAAGTCTTTAAAATATTACTTTTCTCGTCAATTTGTAGCCAAAGTTAGCAGATTGCCTGCCATTCAGGAAAAAGACAATGGCTCTTTCCTGTAATTAAATATAGAGCCGTACAAAAAAAATCACTGGCACGTGTCAGTTCTAAGTGGAAATACAGCACTAGGTGGGGATCCAAAATTGTTCCATGTGTAACTCCATTGCCAGGGATGCCTTATATTAAAATAGCTTACTGGCACCTAGCTCTGAAAGCTACCGAGAAAGGGGATCAGGTCGTCGAAGTACCCAAGCAAACACTCAAGGCTCCCCGAGAGCTAAATGTTTAATTCCATATGTAGGATCCCAACATCTCGGTGAACTACACTTCCCATGATGCTCTGCGAACACGGCGACTGCTCGTCGGGCCTCGGTGACTCGAGAAGTCGAAAGAGACGCTAATCACTTGTTTGCCTGGGAGAGGCGCAAATGCAGAGGCGCCGCCTCAATGCTTGTGTTGCGATGCTTCCGGTTCCCGGGTGCAGTTCGCAAGCTTCTCTGCGCGCGGGGCGAAAGAGCGCAGGGGAGGCGGGGTGATCCCGCTTGCTTACTCGGGACATTGCCCAGAGTTCAGATGATCGCTAAATCTCCCGTGCTGGTTCTAAGCTGCTTCTTAGTCCTTTATGGTGGTGCTTTGTTGTATTAGAATCGTAGAGTTGGAAACGATCCCAAAGAGCTCATCTGATCCAACCCCTGCAGTGCGGTATTTTGGCCATCATTAATTGCATCTCATGCCTTTTGTTTACCGCCGTAGTAGCTGTATAGAAGAACGTAATGTGTGCTGCATCAGGCAGATTTGGGGGCATCAGGTGGCAGGACAGTCTCAAACAATGATGTTCTCCATAGTGTGTAGAGCGATCGTCTTCAGCTGCTGGGGCGGGGCCCACTAGTGGGCTGCGGCCTGATCCAGGGTGGATCGCCACAAGAGCAAACACGTGGTAAAAGATTAAGAAATAAAGTCCCCAAATGCATGTTTGGGTTAAAAATAGTACCTAGGTCTGAAAAGGTTGAAGATACCTGGAACAGAGAATGTCTACGAATGTAAAACCCTCTGAACGAACACATCAACATATTTATCTCTGATTGGTTTAAATTACCAACTAAGTTCAAGCTTTTTTATTATTGTGCGAGGCAGTTACAGTGAAATGTATAGTCTCTCCCCTGCAGAGTGAGACTTGCTTCCAATTAACCATTCATAGGAAGTTGATCCAACGCGATCTAGAAAAGACTGGGAGCTTCTGAGTTCTATGAGATGTACAGTCCCACTTTTTAAAAATTGGCTTTATTCCCAGAGAAATGTGTAGAGCAGACATAGGGACCCTGAGATAATGTTGGGCTACAATTCCCATTATCCCTGCCCGTTGGGCTTGCTGGCCTCGTGTACATATAGGAGATAAAGCTCCTCGAGTATTAACATTGCACGTTCACTATACAATAAATTCCAAGGATTCCAAAAAAACTGATGCTTGCTTCCTTGACGTGCGCGCGGATGCCAGGGGTTCTATTGCCCAGAATCAACAAATGCCTCTTGATCAGGGACAAAAACAGCGGAGCAGCGTTTGAGACCTGCTTGCTTTTAAGCAGTGACAAGCAGCCGCCAGGCCAGCAGCGACGGAGCGTGACGCCCTCGCCCCGCCTTCGCTACCAGGCTGACCGGACAGGGGCGGGGTGGGAAGAGGAGCGTCCGGACTCCGCTTGTGCGTGGCGGGGGATCTCGGAGGGAAGATGAGCGCTGAGACGCTGACCCTGGACTGCATCATCCACCTGTTCTCATACCTGGAGCCACCGGATCTACTTAGAGCAGCCCAAGTGAATAAGGTGCGTTGCAGCGCCGGTTGCAAGTGCCCCCAAATTCGCCCGTGTGCCACGGGTGGAGAGAACATCTTTCTCCACTTCGATCACGGGAAATGGGGAAGAGGGCTCCCCATAACGACCTCTCCAAGCCAAATGCGCCAGTAGCAGGCGCGCTTGCTCCAGGTTTCTCTCGACCTCTTCAAATACTTGGAGCGCGATCTTGTACAATTTTGCCCGCCCCCCCCCCTTGCTTTTATTAACGAGCGAACTTAAGAGGGCGAGATCCGGATTCCGGACGTCCCATTCTGACAGCGCGTCCCCGTCCAGCGTCGTGACACAGTAGTAATTAAAAGCGGGGAGAAGATACTGCAGCAACACACTGGATTCAGCAAAGCGCGCAACAGTATCCCCGGCCAATGTGGAAATCCCCCGAACAAGACAGGCGCGTGCGCCTGCGCGCTTCCTGGAAACTCTTTGCTTTCTGTTTTCAAGCCGGCCCCACCCTCGATGTTTCTGCAGTGCTGGCAATGCAGCCAGTAAGAGCGAAAGCCGCTGATCCAAGCGATGGTCCTTCTGGCGCTTCTGTTTCTGCAAGATGTTAATGGGAAGCTTCTAGGATTGCAACCTTCCCAAGCGATGCTTCGGGGCCTCTTGCCACCTGTGTGACAAGCAGACGTTAAGCTGACAAAAGTTTCCCCCATCATTGTATTTGCATGACAGGAAAAACTTCACCTGCTGAATGAATATCACTTTTATGATTGCTTAAAGCAGAACTTTTTTTGGGGGGGGGGTTTACAAACGCTTAAATGTACAACTTAGTACTTTGAAGTAAGACGTGCCTAAGGCTGCAATCTGAGGCCCAATAAGCCTCATTGCTCTGTTTTATATTTATTGCTTGTTACTGTGGTGTGTTGGGTACTTTATTACTTTTATTGTAAGTCACCCTGGGACTTTGAGGTAAGACAAATAACAGACTGGCTGAATGAAACTGCAAGCACTTTGCTCAAGTGACTCCACTATGTGACTAAGTCCCCTGAATCTTGAAGAACTTCCTCTAAAACCTGTCCTGCTTTCTCGTTTTAGACATGGAATGAAGCTGCAGAGACCTCTTCTCTTTGGAGGTTAGTGCACTTCTTATCTATTTTAATATTTGGGTTTGGTGCATTCAGTTTACTTATTACTGAGAACACAGCACCATTTGCGTACATGGAACTCAGCAGAGTTCGATAAGGACAACATAGCCAAGTCCCCTCTGGTGAACCAACGAACATGGCTAGAAGACAGAAAGAGGTCTGGGGGAAAGTCAAAACAAGGGTGGCAAGCAATGGATGTGAGGAACTTCGTTACAGCTGAGAATGATGATTAATACACACCATGCATTTAATGCACAAAGCACACACACACAATATCTTGGAAACTATAGCTTGCCCCTCCCAAAGCTACAGCCATGATTCTTGGGATGAGGACATGCTTAAAATGTGCTTTAAATGTATAGTGTGTACATAGCTACAGAAAACATGGGTTGGGAGGAGGAAGGACAAGATACATAGCAGGGTCAGTGAGGGATCGGACTTGGGGAGAGGAGGGGGTGGGTCTGGGGAGGCTTGGAGGGCTGCATTTGACCCCCACCTGAGGTTCCCTGCCACTGCATTAAACTTGCAGACAAGAGTTTGTGCTAGATATGAAAGGGTTAAATTATTTGGTAGCAGAATTCTGTATTGAGGAGAAAGGACTGGAGAGGATGTAGGAAAGCTCAAAATGAAGAAGGCTGGAATCAGAATTTTAGATGAGACAATGGGGAGGAAGGAGCAGATTTTTGCAATGCCGTACATTCTAACAATATGTAAATGAATGAAATCCAGACTTTGTAGCCATTTGCTTTTTATTTAACGACGGCAGATGATGGTTGTCAATCATTTCTGCCTCATTCATTGAAACTGCTCTGGAGGAAGGATTTTAAAATTTCAAGATAAATCTGCCACTCTTTAAATTTATAGAAATATGTGTCTAAGACGATGGGCCTTCTGCAATATCTCAGTGATCCCAGGAATGCAGACATGGAAAAAGTACTATCTCCACCGCTCTAATCTTGAGCATAAAAAGATATCTGGACGGCCTTCAGTTGACTACACATGTAAAGCGATGAGAGGACATACAGGTAGGCTAAGTGTGGTAAAAACTCATAAATTAATTTCCTGAAATAGAAACACATATCACTCCCTCTCTACTTATTTTTATATTCATTGAAAATAACTACCATAATGGAGTCGGTAAAAAAAGATTTGATATACAGTAATGATGCCTAACCTTACTAATTTGACAGGGGAGGTGAAATGGGTAGGGGGAAGATTTGGATGAAAAACATGGTCCCTCCCTGTGATGTGCATATGGAGCAAGTATTTAAAACAAATCCCTTCTCACTGCTGAAATCGGAAATACATTGAGTTTAATGAAGCAGAGTTATGAAATATATGACTGGATGGAATGTGGTATAGAGATATACATGCATGTATGTGTGTGTTTATAAGATTTTAAATAAATAAAATTATGTTGGGTGTTTATTGCAGATTTATAATATGCCACGTGTCTGCAGTATCAGAAAACTCACCAGATTGATGGTTGTTTTCATAATGAAATTATGCTCAGTTTTTAAAAATTCTGTTCATGTTGTTATAGGAACGATAACTGGTATGGCTTACCTATCAGAGAACGAGCACACATTTGCAACAGGAAATGTCAAGTCTGTTGTGTGTACCACTTCTTCTGATGGCACAGTCAGGGCATGGAACGTCCAAGAGGTAGGACAAAAGAACGTGTAAAAGATGAATGGTGGATTTTAAAAAGGAAGGTAAATATTTCTGATTGGTGCCAAGGGGTGATCACACTTATATTCAGAATTACTTCAAAGAGGAAAAGGAAGGAAAGCCCAGGCAGCTCAAATTGTTTGTTATTTGTTTGTTTGTTTAGTTAGTTACATTTATCTGCCACCTTTCAAGGCATTTATCTGCCACCTTTCAAGCCGGGACACGGGTGGCGCTGTGGGTTAAACCACAGAGCCTAGGACTTGCCAATCAGAAGGTCGGCAGTTGGAATCCCCACGACGGGGTGAGCTCCCGTTACTCGGTCCCTGTTCCTGCCAACCTAGCAGTTTGAAAGCACATCATAGTGCAAGTAGATAAATAGGTACCGCTCCAGCGGCAAGGTAAACAGCGTTTCCATGCGCTGCTCTGGTTCGCCAGAAGTGGCTTAGTCATCCTGACCACATGACCAGGAAGCTGTCTGCTGACCAACGCCGGCTCCCTCGGCCAATAAAGTGAGATGAGCGCCGCAACCCCAGAGTCTGTCACGACTGGACCTAATGGTCAGGGGTCCCTTTACCTTTACTTTCAAGGCAGTTGCTGTTTTAAAGTAGTGGCTTTGAGATATTTAAAAAGAGATGGGTGGAAAAGGGATTATCCTGCTGGAGAAAGGGCTTAAAGGGAAAGCATTTCTAGCATGGACATAGCCAGGATTTATTTTAAGAGGGCAGAATCGAGTTATCTGCGACACAATTGGTCGTTTAGTTATTTCTATTTACCGTATTTCCTTGGTTACCTGTACTCCCTGGCAATACCCATGACTTCTAGGAGTGCAGGAGGCGGGGGGAGTATGGTTGAAAATGGCAACTTCCTGTCCTCCAGTGGGAGCCTCTGCTGAATCTCAGCCCCTTTCCTGGAAGAATCCTTTCTGTTCACAGGAGGACAAAGCTGGGTGCAGCCCAATGAAAGTAGAAAGGAAGAAAACTAAAATTCCAGAAACTGACATGGCACATTTTTTTAAAGGCTGTTGGCATGACGCTGATGGCAATATGGAGGACAAAAGTCTGATACAAAGCAAGCATCCATTTATTTGAAATGAATTCTGTTAGAATATTTTTGGCTGCAGATCAGGACTTTGAAATACAATGAAGGAGACTGAGTCATTATGTTCTGATGTGCAAATAAATCAAGTGAACATGTTTCAGCAAGGTAAAGATGAAAGAAAGCAACAAATATGCAAACTTTTCTACAGCATGTGTTCGTTTCCTTTTTTTCTTACCGACTCCACACCGAAAAAAGTTGGCGTATAGAACATACTTGAAAATACACCATCAGAGAAATCTGTATAGTTGGGTCTTAGGCAACATACACACCAGACTATTAAAGTACCCCCTGCTCCACACACACAGGATCCTGAGAGTTGAGTTTAAGGGTGCTTGGAAGTATGGGTCTGTAGAAGTAAACTACAATTCCCAGAATTCTCAGGTGGGGGTGTGTGCTTTAAAGGTTTGAAGCATATCTAGCCTTGGTCTTGGTCGAATGGGGTTAGGACTGCATGCCATGCATAACACAGATGTGTTAAATGAAATGGTCTGAAGATAATAGAGAATTGGAAATAAGTGAGGCACGAATGGCACCATTTTGTGTTTTTTAAACAGGGTACACAGATTTGGTCAAGTCCCCAGCAGGAAAATGGACTGCAAAACATTGCCACGTTTCCTTCAGATAAATTGGTGGCTACAATAGACTGTCATGGGATAATCAAACTCTGGCATGGAGAGACAGGGGAAGAGCTTGCAACATTTTCAGTATCATCCTCATCATGCTCTGTGGTTGCCTACACAATAAACAGCAAGCCATTCTTAACGGTAAGTGCAGCACGGCTGACAGTTTGAAACAAACTTCCTGTTAGCTTGCCGAAAGCCTGCTTAAAAATATGGAATAGTAGTTTTTAAAGTTGTTGCAACTCAGGGCTGGATCAGAGCTATTCCTTTGTTTTTGCAAGAAATCCAGCAATCGGTGACTCAACAGAAATTGGTAATCCACAGTTGAATTTTTTGCATGTCGCTGCGAAGTAATCATCATTAACTATATTTTCTGTGCTTCCTTCCTTGGTTTAGGTAGGCACCGGAGGAGGTAAACTCTATACGTTAGCAGCTGCCGATTTAAGCCAAATTTCATCCACACAACTGTTCCAAAACTGTGGCATAGATTCATTGCTTTGTTCACCCGATGGTCTATGGATAGTTGCTCGCCCTACAGATAATGCTTTACCACCAAAGGTACTGTTATGCTGCAGCATTTGAGCATTTGTTGAGACTAACATCAACTTCAGGGTCATGGTGGGGATTCAGTTGGGATTGTGGTGCAGGAGAAAGGGTTAAATTCCTCCTTCCCTGCATGCTGCAGTCTTGATTTCCTCCCATTCCACATGGCTATTTAAAAGGGAAACAACCTGTAACCGCTGAACGCAATTTTAGATTTAACCCATCATTTTTAGACTTAAAACTGTTACAAACTGTAAACTACTTTGGTGTGTCAACACTTTGCCTAGTATTTGTGTCCTTCCCTCCCCATCTCCATGAGGTTACACCTTAGGCTTCCCATCTAGCCTAAAGTGTTCTGGAGAGCTTGAAAACTTGCTCACTGTGTTGTGGCATTTAGTTGGTCCTAGCAAAGTTACCACTATTTTGTGGCTTTTTTTCTCATAAACTTGCAATTATTGTAAACGAAATTCCACTCAAATCTCCATGCCACATAATGAGCAATCTTTACTTGGGCAAAAGAAAAATGTCTCATTCACAGAGCTTCCCCTTCCTGCCTCTCCAGAGATGGGGAGTGGGAGAGGCTGAACCTTGTATGATTTGATGGACAATGGCAGTCATTCCCCCTCCCAACCCTGTGGCAAGACACTTGGAGGGCATGTAGGGATACAACCCTGAAGGAAGTATCAAACACCATTTGTGATGTGCCATGAAGCTCTGTAACTCAAAGTTCAAAATAATTTATTGCATAAAATTCAAAATGAAAATCCTCACTTGGGCTATCCAAGTATACCATAAGCAGCTCTTTGGATCCCAGCTATTGTGTGTTAATGCTTGTTTTTGTATATGTAACAGGTGGTTTATACACATTCTGCAACTAATTCTGTAGATGATGAAGTGTTATCTAGTCCTCTTCCGATCAGAGGTCAGTGCCTTGACACCTGCTGGTTACCCGCAGAACCCGCAAGAGTAGCTGTGCTGCATAATGAAGAGATGAATTTTCACATTGTGAGCTTAGATATACACATTGAGAAGAAGTCTAAATATAAAATGAGTATTACAGGTAAGTTTCTTCAAACTGTTGTCTAGCAGAAGGTAATTTATCCTTTTATTCAGCAGCAATCCAGAAAACACCCTGAACTGAATTGCTATTGAAAAGGAAATGAATTGTCAGGTGGACCTTTCTTGTATAGGTGAAGAGGAACAGAATATTTGTTTTGAAATGTTGGTTGCAATTCCAACCCACTTACGTGCAAATAAGCTCACTAAATTCAATGGGGCTTATTTCTGAATAGACATGGAAGGGATTTCAGTCTTTGTCTTTCTGTGCATGGTAAGCCATAAAAGCAGGGACTTGGCTGCACTGTGTCAGAGCTGAATAACAAAATGCATGGGAAAGGACAGTTCAGGACTAGAGCATGTGCTGTAGTAGGAAGTAGAAGGTCCAGGTTCAGTCTCTAACTTCTCCACATAGGTTTGGCAGAGACAACTGCCTGAAAATCTGGAGAAATGCTGCCAGCCAGTGTTGACGACACTGAACTACACAGACCAATGGCCTTCCTATGTCCCTAATTTTATATAGTGGTGTTTTGTCAAGCTCAGCAGATAATACCCAATTGACAAATTTATTCCTTTAGGCAACTTGTTTTCTTAATCAGTGTTCCCTATCTGTTTTCATTCCTTTCCATAGCAGCACAATAGACAGAACTGCTAGCTTGGATCTGAATCAGCACAATGTTCTCGATACACAATATGTAGCTCAAAATTCAGAGAATCGTGACCTGACTAATATACTGGTGAGCACTGTTGCAGTACTCTTCACAGTAAACAGAGCAGAAATTTCAATGCTAAAATTGTTTTTATGCAAAAGCTCGACAGGTTGCAGACTTCACATTAGCAGCACAACTACGGATTGGAGAGACGATTATGAAAGGATTTGGCAAACAAACTATTCTTTTAGCAACTGGACCAGAGCTGAAACTATACACTCTGTCAGGAACTGAATTAATGGCTTTCAAAGATCACCACAATTCTATTACATCAATCTGGGTGGTATATACAGTTACTATTACTTACTGCTACTATTCTTTATTTCTGTTCTGTACACTAAATATTCTTTAACTAAAAGGCTTTAATTTGCATCCACCCACCCCCAACCAGGATCCTTTTCATGTTGTCACATCATCCATGGACCTCTCACTTCGTGTGTACTCCTGGAAAAATGACAACAAATCATCTTTGCTGAACGGTCGCTACCACTTACTAGGAGGATCCCACAGATGGTCAAAGTAAGTTTGAAACATTTTGCAAATTGCAGTAAGATCAGAGCACCTATCACTTTCTTGCTAAATACATCTATAGTAGGAGGCAGATTTGAGAATAAAAGCACATCTGTGACCCCAAATGCTAGTTTGAACTGTATTTATATGGAAGACTTCAGTTCAATTGTTTTTTGAAAATCAGTCTAAAGTATAGTGATACTACATCACAGGAGCTATGGGGCAGGGTTTAAAGACAGTGATATGTGAATTATACAAAGGCTCTGGGGATTGCTTTGCTTTCCCTTATGACTGGACCCCTTGACACAAAGTCCCATTCAACATCCCCTTTCCCCCATTTAGGACCATTAGGGGTAGATAAAAGCTATGTGCAGTTTTTTGCCTGTGTCATCCATGGCTTTCCTCATCCCCCAATTTAATCTTTGCAAGCAGTGAAGCTTACAGCCAAGGGATAAACCAACTCTGTTGTAATGAACACAGAACTAACCTACTACTCAGGCTTAAAAAATATTGTAGTAGCTCAGCTTTGAAACAGGGCAAAACTGGGGCTATGCTTAGCAAGGCAACATAAAAAACCCACTGCAAAATGTCAGAAACCTGCAATTTAACTTCTCATACTAAAACAGAATTGAGTTCGTTTCAATATGTCGAAGTAGTTAAATGTAAGTACTAGATTGTGCCAAGTACTGTGAGCTATATATTTTTTCCTCTTCTAGTGGCTTTAGAAGTGTGGCTTGTGATGATGTGAGCATTGTTGGTGTGGTGGCTGGAAATGGAGACATCTTAAGAGCATACTCCTTTAACTTGTAAGACTTAATGTTTCTCTCATTTTAAGTCGTGTTAGTTTTGTTTGCCTGTCAATTAACTCTAAAGTGAATTCATCATCACATGATGCAGCCCATGTGTAATCTAGAGACAAAATGTCAGTATGATTTATAACATTTCATGCCACTTGAAAACAAAAGCATGCAGTGAAATCCAAGCTTTGATGTTTTTAGATCAACAATAAACTATTGAAGGGGTTGTCAGTTATCTTTTTCCTTGCTCTTTAAAAATACACGACTTTCATGAAATTCCATCTCAGTCTGGAAAAAGGCAGTAATTTTATTTAATGGCAAGATATAATGTGAGTGTACAATGGACCAGATTAGTAAATATTTTCTGAAGTTTTTTTGCGGGGCAAAGTAACATGGGTCCAATCTACCATAGTGTACACCTCAGTTCAGTTTCTAAGATAAAGCACTCAAGGTCATATCCAACACTGCTGCTCTGCAAAACTGAACGTTTCCCTCCAGCCCCCTTGCATCAGAGGCAGATTAAGGGCGCCTAGAGGGGCACCGCAACTATGAAGTAGTGAATTGAGCAGAACAGAAGGCTAGAGGTGGGGCGCCAAATTTTGGCCTGGCACAGGGCACTGCTACAATTTGAAATACCAAAGTGCTTGTACACTCTCAATCTGCTCCAGATGAGATTGTGAGAGTGCAGCAGGAGAGCAAGGGAACTCCAGTTGCCTGAGCAAAACTCCATAGGTGCAGCATTGGACAAAACCCTCATTCAAAGTTGGTTTCACAGCTAAACAATGCAGACATGTGAGAACTCCTAAATGTGGGGGTAGGACCACGCAACCAATTTAAGGCCCTAGCAAGAGCAGCACAGCTTATATGGAGCAGCTGCTTCAAGGAGAATTACAGACTCTTACCAAAATTCCATGCTGAAAAATTGGACACGTGTGAACACTACAGTTAGATAATCAACACTGTTCATTAAAATCTCATTTTCCAGTTTTATCTACTGGGATGTTGGAGAAAGGCAACATAAAACAGGAAACAGAATGTACCACTACAAAGCCGTTTATTGAGCAGCCTAGTTTACTTTCTTAAGTACTTCTTAAACATATGACACTTTGGAGCCTTGAGAGTTTAAACCATTACACCATTTTCTTTTCTACTCAGTTTGGATAGAATACTTTGTACCATAGAATTCTCTTAGCAAAAAGCCAAAGATACATTCTGTAGGCTAAAAGGTAGCTCAAGGTTTCCCCATATTTTTTGGCTTACTCAGTGAACAAAACTTTTCTAGCAAGTATTCCAAACCTTAAACCACAACCTAGTGAAGGAAGATTTAAAACTGAGCCAATATCATCCTGTTGTAATATTAAAGCCCTAAGAAAGGCAGCAGGTTGTATAGTTAACTCCTTGCGGGCAAAACCACTGCCCTAAAACTATGCAACCTACTACCTCTTCCTAGGAACCCACCACTTCTTCAGCAATCCTTCAAAAAAGAAAAGAAAAAGATTAGCTGTAGTGAAAGACAAACTTTATACAACATAAGGCAAGATGCTGTATCACAATTGTATGTGTTCAATTACTATAGAAGGTGAACCACTTGCTACGTAAGTACAAAGCCATTCACTGTTAGTCCTTTGTTATATCATTAATAGTATACATACTTAATATCCTCCCAATTAAACTTAAACAAAACACTTGTTTTTTTAATCCAACTCAGATCAAACCAAGTGGCACATATTTTCAAGATGCAGATACCTGAAATGATCAAATTAATGCTGAAAAATAGAGTTGCATTTAGTTACAGATCTTCTGTGCAAATCATTTCATTTATTTTCCATTAAGAGAGGTCCCACCAAGGTTGCTGGTAAACTCAGCAAAAACACTGCAGAATTTTTACTCCTCAAGGAAGGCAATAGATTGTATAGTTATCTCCTGAAGAGGGCAAAATAACTGCCCTACAACTATACAATCTACTACCTCAACCTGATAAGAGAAATATATTTAGAAGGGTTCTATTTCCAGTTAATTTGTTCTGAGTCTACCTGCCCATGGACTGGATCCTGAGACTTACTTGCAGATAGGGACATCTCCATCTCCTCTCACCTGCGCTTCACAAAAAGCCTCTGGAAGGATATCCTAAACAGTGCGGAATAAGGCACCAGTGGGCCAGCCCAATACAATTTGCTGCCCTAAACAAATGATGATACAGTTCCATTTCATATAAAGATCCAGCTGGACTGGCAGGCACATCTTACTTCAGAACCGTTTCCTAGCAGCAGACTAGCTTGGGAGAATGAGGTGGGGGCTGCCTCCTGAGGAGGATGCCTCAACTTTGCCTATTGGCCCTGGCTCAGAGAAGGGAAAACAACATCAGTGGATAAAGGCACACTTTGCACAAGGTACCTCTGGCCAATTCAGGTCTGCTCCCCACATAGTTCACACCTTTCAGGAGGCCCCCTGACTCTAAGAAGGAACAGATGGTGAGGAGATGATAGAAGTCCCTTTCCACAAGCAGCTTTCCACTCATGTTCCTCAGGATCCAACTCTTTGAGTCCACATTTCCTTGACAAGTGTGTCCGGTGAGCCATCATTACAGCCTCCCAGTTGTAATTGTATAGCCAGTAACAAAGCCATACAGATATCACTGATGATTGTCTGCCTCTTTAGGAAAGACAGTAGACTGTATAGTTATCTCCCAGTGGTGGGTATGACCCTAAAAACTATACAACCTACTACCTCATCCCACAGCGCAGGTATCTTCACTTAAGGTATGTTGATTATGTTCTTAAAAAGAACAAGTTTACCTGAATGCTTCGAAGAGGTCAAGTCATTTAAATACTTTTTAAAACACTCACACACAAAAATAGCTGATGGATAAAAGAATGGTTAAACCGTAGACACTTCTCTGGATAGCAAGATTCAGTAGACTGTAAATGTTCAAGCAACGGAACTACATACAATATTCTTCTTCCTGTTCCCCACTCAAACCTGAAAGGAGGAAGAAAGGTTAATGAAAAACCCTCCCAAAAAATATAAACTTCAACTATATGGTAAGTGTCATAATATTACACAAGTAGTGCAGGAAATCAATCCTCCAGCTTATTCTAAAGGAAGATGCAGTTCAGAAATCAATACTGTCTATATGCAAAGAATTTGACAAGTGAGTTTTGGAATGTAATTAAATGCAACAAGTTTTTTAAGTTTCCTATTTTTGGAACTCAAGAACATTCTTACTCCTTTACTGGAAGAAGCCAAAAATCTCTATGATGTAGTCAGCTTTTGAATATTAAAAAGAAAATCTGGTTGCTATATGAAGCTCTTCATGACATACCAAGGAGGGGTTCGGAGGAAACTGGTTTCTGTTCAATGTAGTCAGGGATAAGCTATTAGGAAATATCATCCCACATTTTTCTAATGGCTGAATCATACCAGCACAAAAAGAAGGTATAATATGGTTTAATTTCTCTTTACTGCTGAGAATAGAATGACGTTGCTTTCTTATTTGTGGGGTTTTTTATTAGTTATAATGGTTTGAATCCAGAGTTCCCATTAGTGGAACTCTATCCACAGGATACACCCACTGGAAGATGAGGGGGCAAGATGATTTTTTACTATTCCTTCTCCTCTCCGAAATTCCGGTTTTCAGAGAGCTTCTGGAACAGTGGAAGAGAGGTGGTGCGAGGTTACAAAGACTCAACAAAAATTACCTCCTCTTTCTTCTTTGGGAGCCTTCTCTGGATATTCATCCCTTGCACTAATGTAAGGAGTTCTCCCATTCACAGAAGAAACAGAGGCAACCCACTACCCTCAAAGCAAGGAAATATAACACACATTTTAAAATAAAATTTTAAAATTTCTAGAGCATTATATCACAGCAATATTTAAATCTCTAAAAGCATACTCCATATAAGTAGTACTCGGAACAAAAATAATTGGAATCTTTTATCATATGCAGTTAAATTGACTTTTAAAATTATTATTTTACAGTATGATTCAGTCACATCTCCTTACTGAACAACTGCTTTTAATTAAAACATCTACAATTTCTTGTGCATTTTCTTAAAGTGTTCTCATTAGACATGCACAGAAACCGAAGCACTGGGCCTTGATGATGACTCAAATAATAGTACCTAAAATATTTTAAAACAATTCTGTATTTTTGTGTGGATAGCAATAAAAAATTTCAAGTCTCCCTCTGCAGGTGGAGAGGGAGGCCCATTCCCAGAATAAAAGTCCCATCCTAGCTGTTATGGAGAGGACTATCAGTATTAGGCCTCCACTGTCAGTACTCTATAAAGGCAGAAAGGAAAATGAGGGAGTGTTCACATGGCAGATGAGAAGAGGCACTGATCTGCTAAGACCTAAAAAAGCCTCCTGCCCACATGCCCTGGGAAGATGATGGGGGAAGTATACCAATGGAAACACACCCAAAACAGGTTTACTGGCAGAAGCAGTGGAATAATCTAAAGTGGCTGTGAAACACTCAACATTTGGATTTCCCACAATACCCTAATGTGTTTCTCCAAGAAATTTAACAGCAGTAAGAACCAGGCTGGGAGAAACAGTGGATGCAGCACTGGTGTCATAATCTATGAGTTCTCAGGCAGATGCCCAAAGTCTGGACTAAACCCAACTCACATTAATTCACGTTAAAATGAAAAGTAGCCATTTGGCCCTAGTTTGCCTTGCAAAGTTTTACCCTGCTTTGCACTAGTTTATTATTTCTTGAAACACACATAATTTAATGACCCAACTACTACTGTGAAAGCTGCTATACAAACTTTATTCTCCAGTCTTCTGTTTAGCTTCTTGTCAGTTCCAACCCTGCTTAGTCAGAGATGGAATTGTCTCAAGCACCCTATATTCAGTTTTGCAAGTTCTGAAACTGAATAAATGTCTCCAGCATCAAAGCCAATTTCATTATGTTTACATAGATCAGCACTTGCATCTTTGCAAAATACAATTTTTACTGCAGTGTAGCACTACAGCAGCCTTCCCCAGCCCAGTGTCCTTCAAGATTTTTTGGACTCTCAATGCACATTGGCCCCAAACAGCACAATCATTAGTCAGGGACAATGAGTTATAGCTGAAACAGTTGGAACACATGGAGAACATCAGGTTGGTGGAGGACTGTACTACAAAATGCATCCAGTATATAAAAAATATATCACTAGCTCCTCTATACTGTTTATCAATGCCATTCATAAACTCAATTTTATCTGACCTAACGTTAAGCACAGATTACACTTTCAACTGATCAATGTCCATCAATGAAATGTAGTTTGGTAATATCAATTCTATCAACTAAATATAAATCAAATTCTAAAGAAATAAATTGCTTCTAACAACCTACAGTATGTTTATTCAAGTATCCCAGAAGGCAGTTGTTTCCTGAAGTCTATCATCTCTGAGCTTCCTTCCCTTCTTCTGAAACTTTGTGCTTTCTGTCTTCCCACTTTCCCACACACCAGACAGCTGGAGAAGTTCAGCAAACTGCTTAACAAGCCAACTACCCCCAAGGATTTACAAACCCCATAAAACTGTTTCCAAGTACTTTCCTTTATCATCTTCAATGCCAAGTCCAGCCACCACATCTGAGGCTAATGTTTGTCCTTCCTCAACTGTAAAGAAGCAGATATTATTACAGACTGTCAATCTATATGGTCATATTTTCCTACCAATGCAATTGATGTTTTGCCAGAGAAAGCAAACGAGTCCCTTTGCAACCTTTCTACCTACCCACAAACGGGATATAACAAGGAACGCAGCCCAGAAGCAGAAGTGCAAGGGACAAAACACATCCGCCCCATATCGTAAAGAGGTCTGAAGCTTTGGGACATGTAGCTCTAAAAACTGCCATAAGCCACTATCTAAAATTGGGAATTTGAGGATTAAGCTGTGCCAGAGGTGCCACCTTCCAAAACCGTCCTACCCTTTCTCCCTCCTAACCACCAGCAACTCGGTGGTAAAACAAAAAGTCAGCGGCCACAGCATGGGAAAGCCACTCACCTTCCCCGATTTCCAAAGTTAACATACATACATACATACATACGCATACAAAGTTAATGCAGCCTTCCAGCCCCCAAGGACATGCAGGAGACCACCCCGCAGTCCCGCCCTGCTGCCAGTCTCAGAAGGGCCATTTGATGCCGAGGGAAGACCTACTGAGGCCCTAGGCCGGCGGTTTACTCGGAGGTAAGCCGGCGGGCGCACGATCCTTGCCCTCAGCCTGCGATGCCAGGCACAAGGGAGGGAGGAGAACGCGCGGGAAGGAGAGGCGGCGCGCCTCGTGGTAAGGGAGCCGCTTGCCAAGAAACAGCCCACCTCCTGCTCCTCCTCCCCTCCCTCCCTCCCGTCCACCGTAGAATGCCCGGGGGGGGGAGGGCGCCCGCCTCGCAGGCCTTTCTTCGCCCAGGGGCTCTCGGGGCCCAACGTTCCAGCCAATGGGAGGGAGGGAGGGAACGTTGAAGCGGCGAGGGGGGGGCGCACAGGAGGATGAGCGCGAGAAGGAAGCAGCGACGGTTTTCGGCCGGCAGTAGGCGGGAAAAAGGGGTGCCGAGAGGGAGAGAGACGGGGCGGGGCTTTCCCCCATCTTACTCGGGAGTCCCCGCCGCAGCATCACCTCGCGCCCCACCCACTTTCTCTCTTCCCTTCCATCCCGCCCTCACACAAGCCAAGGTCTCTCTCTCTCTCTCTCGCCCACCGCGAACTTGCTACGGGAAGTGACGCGACACGTACAAGCCAAGCGCCCTCGGCCAACAGCAACGGAGGGTGACCGACGAGCAGCCAATCGGCGGTCGCTTAGTGGGCGGGGTTTCCCGGAGTCTCAGGTTTGTCAGGGAAGGCGCGGCGGCAATGGGAGGGGTGGAGGGGGAGAGAGAATGGAAGAGAGCGGGGAAGCGGGCTAGAGAAGCTGACGGGGAAGGAGGCGGCGGGGAGGGTCTGTGACTGGAACGCGAAGAGGGAAAGCGGAGGTTCTTCCCCGCTCCTCCGTAGCCGGGAACTCGGGGGTAACCTGAGGGGCTCTTCCCTCTCCCGCGCGCACGGGAACAGCGCCGGCTCCCTCAGTGGAAGGACCGCTGCTGCTTTTTCCCTCAGCGCTCCCTCCCTTATTCCCCCATCTCTCTCTCACACACACACCGGTACCTGCAGAAGGATGACCCAGCGCCACCCAAGACCCGGATGGAAGAACCGCCGTCGATGGTGCTGCTCCTGCAGCAGCGCTACCGCCTTTCCCCGCAGTGGATCACGGGAAAAAAGACTGATGACGCCGCCCCCCCCCCACCTCGGAAGAATGGAAAAACTCCGCCCCCGCGGCGTGTGCCGAATTAAGGGAAGGAGCGTGACCAGTCAGTCACCCACGCTTGTTCGCTGTCATTGGAGCACGCAGCCCGTGTCCCCGCCCTAGTGCAAGATCGTGTCTTCTGATTGGAGGAGTGCGGGCTCCTGTGTCAGCCTGCCCTACCTGGTTGGTGCTCAAATTCCTTGGCCCCTGCTCCGCCCTCTCCTAATGGGAGAGCGCCCTCGGCTTTGCCCACTCGGAGGGAACGAGGACTGGCCGGGGAGTCACGTACTGCCTCCTCGCCGTCCTCTCTGCGTCCTTCCTCGGAGCTAAAACCCGCCCCCCTTCCTCTCAAGTCTGCAGGCGCCAGAATTGATAGCTGCCGCGGCTTTGGTCTCACTCTGACAAAGGCTGCTGGCAGCCGGCTGTGCTGAGGAGGAGTTAGAAGCAGCTGAGGAGTCTCGTGGAGCCTTGAGCAGGGCATCGTTAATAGACACGACCCTGTGCATGTTTCCTCAGAAGTGCAGTGAAGAGATGCAGCTTTAAATTTGTTAGCCTTTCGGGTAGTGCAAGATGCTTAGGCTGCCGTCAGTGAGGAATCTAAATGGTCAGAGGTGATGAGGGTTGCACGCCAACAGCGTCTGGTTTTCCCATCTCTTCTGTTGTAACTTGCCTAAGGATAAACTCTTTTCCACTTGCCTAATCTGTAAGGCAGTGGCAAGGGGTGGGGAGGGTGCCAGCTCTGCCAGTGTATTGCAGGAGAATAATCAGAGAATACTTTGCACTTTCATACGTGATACATTTTGAGGAGGATTTCTGTTGTGTCCATTCTTTGCACCTGGTATTTAAAAGATATACAGCACCACCTACAGCTTACCTAATACATGGCAAATTCGGAGACTGTAAAGACACTCTGCATATGCAGGGTGTACCGTATTTATGGGCTCAATTCTCACGGTTAGTCTAAAAGTTGGTGCTCTTCCCATCCTCGAACTGCATGACTTTTGTGCTTTATATTTCATGCTTCCTGCCAGTGCTCTACTTCATGCAACGGTTAAGGGCAAAATAAACCAACATTATTTCTTAGTTCCAAGCTCACTTCTCAGAATATGGGGTTTTGACTGCAACCTCATGAAATACCAAGATTGCTTTAGCACATGTTGTGGGCAGGAAAGCAGAAGTTCACATGAGGGGACACAAACAATTGTGTTTGGGCTTCCTTGATTTACCTCCTTCCCCTTTTTCTGTAAAGTGCACTCCTCCACCCCATATATTAAATTCCGTTTTCCCTCTGCCTTACTTTAAGTTAATTAGTCGTTAAAGTGAAACCTTGTAGCCTGGCTTTTTTATCTGGTTATGGAGAGCTGAACTGCACCTGTCATTTCTATGTGAAGCTCAATGTGCCCCATCAATCTTAGCAGCAGTTCTGTGGCATTTTCTGTTATTGATTATAAGGTATTGGCTCACTACTGCAGAATTGCTGAGAGAACAGAGTTGCTGAGAATTGCAGAAAACAAGAATATAGAATCGGGAACAGAAAACATTGGATTGACAGCAGGATTTAGTTTAGGACTAGGACTGGATTTGAGCTCAGGCCAAGACATGGACCAGACAAGAAAAATACATTAAAAAGGCCACTTATGTAAACACTGAGAACTTCAGGATGATTTACTATTCTCAGCATCTTTTAACCTATACTTAATAGCCTCAACCCTTGAGGATAGATGCAAGAATCAGAAGGCAAAACGAACTTCTCTGAAATAGCTCCCAGGGGTAGCATACAAGGCAAGAGAGAACAAAATTAGTATGAGGGCTCTGTGATCCACAGTAGGTGTGAGGTCTGCCTCCTCAGATCAAGTAGTTGGGCAATCATCTAAATCATTTAACCAAAGAGCAAGGAGTGTGGCTACCTAACCATACCCGCTCCTGAGATAATTTAATACAAATTGTTACCTTCATTCTTGTGCCTTGGGTGAGACTCTGGACCGGTTCAGATGCGTAAGCCGCACTCTTGTGTCCGTGCTGGGACCATTTCATTATATGAGCTGCTGTGTCAGTGCAGGAGTGGGTCAAACTACAGTACTCTGAATTGTTGGAAAGCAAGGTAGTGCAACTTCAGTTCTGTTTTCTATCACAAGAGGGAGCATGAGTCCCATATTGCTGAAGCGGTATGTAGCTGCATGTATTATGCATGCATGTAGAGAAGAGCTTGTTTGTTAAGGGTCATGCCTTGGATCAATTGGGTTAGGTGGGATGAGTTTCTGGTCCATAGCTGTCAACGTTTCCCTTTTTTTAAGGGAAATTCCCTTATTCCGAATAGGATTCCTCGCAAGAAAAGGGAAAAGTTGACAGCTATGTTCTGGTCATTTCAGCTGAATGATTCTGATTCAGACTTGAAACTTGAACCTTACCCTAATAAGAACTATAAACACCTACAAGCAGAAATATTCTCCTTTACACCTAATTTTGGCGATATATATTTAAGACGAAATAAATGCCCCTGCAAACTCCCTTGCCAGAATGAGAAGAAAGAATGCTTTATATACTAAGCAATATCATTTTACTTCATGTTAGTAAATTTTGCTGATAGTATAAGCCAAATTATCTTTTGGCTATGAAATTATAGCATTGGTGACAAACTGGTACAATAGGAAAATGGTTTCTTGTTGCCATAGCACATGCTGAACTAGAGAAAAAGAATTTTTAATAGAGTAACAGGTAACAGTATATTTTTGAACTGGAATATTTTTGTTCATTGAATATATTAGTTTGAGCCTATCAATAGATGAATGGAAGCTGACTCAACAAGGAGTGACAATTAGTCACTATTGAATTAATAGAACCTCTATTTCTGTTGCATATACACCATTGTTCTGTACCTTGCCCAGTCATAAAGTAATCTGCAGTAGTAATGCTTTTGTTCTAAAATCTAGTTGCTCATATAAGGGGTTTTACTAAATTGTCAGTAATTTAAAAATAAATATTTGAAATAAGTTGTTTTTAAAACTGCTTGGTTCGTTTTTATCAAACAGCAGACTAAGTACTATACTAACACAGCAGAACACAGATTAAGACATGGAATCTGCTGTTCTGGCAGAGTGGATTGTCCAAAACCTAGGCTACTCTCTCTCTCTCTCTGTATATATATATATATATATATATGGATACTTGCCACTGTTATGACTAATTGCTTAACAAGCACTTTACAGTTGTTTTGCATCTGTTGCAGCAATGTTTATAATAATCTCTCAGGTGATCACTTTACACATAGAGTAACTTCCATTCATTCTGCCACACTTTGGAAATAAGAGTTGTGTCTTATCATGACCAGCATATTTTTCATGAATGACACACTTGCATATAAACCACAACTTCTAGTTTTGAGATGCATGCAAGTAATAATCAAGAAAATATAAATTGCATTTTAAATGGAAAATTAATTTATGGATGTCTGCAGCATTCATGTATTTGAACAGAAGACCCAGCTCTGGAAGGTACAAATAAAACAGCTTGATTTATGAAATATATATGCTATATCTGATGTGCACACACAAAAACAGTCCCCTCTCCCCCTGAAAATTATTATGCTGTGGTTAAGAAAGAACTGAGACCAAGTGTTTTTCATACAATGCTCAGAAATACTTCAGTTTTTTAAATTGTGGTTTCATTTCGTGAAATACAGGACATCTGTAAGAATAACCATCAGTGACATTTTTGTGATGCAGCTATGCCTCAAAATGTGTCATTCACACCTGAAAACCTTGGCACCATATGTTTGAGACAATCATAAGTTGGCTCACTACAATTTCAATGTTCGCTTCACCAGTAAATCACTACATCTGTCTCACTGTCTCACTGAAGACCTAAACTGACTAACAGAAAACCATTTTGTTGCCTCAGATCACCCAAAGGGAGATTGGCAGCAAATGTTGAAATGCTGAAAATGTTGTGTGGCTATGATGTTGCAGCATATGACTGACTTGTTTATTTCTTTTGGAGTTGATTTTATCTGGCATTCTACAGTTGCTGCTAATGATTATATTTAATCACTTTGTGGTGAGAATAAAAAGTTTATCCTGACCCAAACATATATTTTAATTTTGAACATCTCTTCCACTTGCATATGTGAAATGAATTCTCTTTACTCAAATTTATCTGTCAAAATCAGTTTTCTAGAACTGGCTATGGAAGGTTCTTCTAAGCAAAGTAAACTGGAGTTGTAGAGAGTTTGGGTTTCTAACAATTAGTCTACAAGTTAATTAGTGAGGCCAGATGACAGCAATATTAAAAGTACAATCCTGTAGCCATTATTTAAGCATTGTATCCTCCTCTTGAATTTTACCAGTGACCTTTTTTCAAATAATTATGTAAGGGTGATGATGATTAATTAGCAGGGCCCAACACAATATGTGTCAAATGCTATGTCATGTGGTTGCATCTATAAATATTTTATTTGCTAATGAGTAGTGAAAATCGATTAGAAGAACATTTGTTTCTGTTTCTTTTTTTAATAAATTATTTTGCTCTTGGAGGTCTTGCTTCTAAAGCATTACCTATTCCATGGCTTGCCTTGATATTGATTCTGTTTCCAATTAGATGTCATTCCTATTTGGTGTAATATTGTTATCCCTACGGGAGACATTTTGATTAAGATCTTGCTTTGTTTCGTTTGCTTTTTGGAAAAAATCCAATAATTTTACGTAGAAGGACTCATTAGACATTTCATCAGAAAAAGAAAAAGTGGGAAATTCTGGCCTGAACACATCAGGGAGCTCATCTGACCTTGTAGGTGTTTCATCGGAATTAGAGGAGACATAGTTGTTGATATGGGTGGCTTTGAGCAAGTCTTTAAAATATTGCCCAACGGAAATATGATAATCTTTTTTGTTTGGGTATAAGGAATTTCCTTTTGCAAGTTTCTCTATCTTGCTTCTGAGTATTTTATCCTCTTGGAGAAAATGCACTGAATTTGAATGCTGCTCCAAGAGAGTTTTCATTTCTTGATAAAGGTTTCTTGGGACTTCAAGCTCATTTGCCAGCTGCTGAAGGTTTTCTACTTTGATAGAATACTCTTTGCCTAATATTGCTTTGAGTTCAGTCATTCTCTGCCGGATCCCTTTCAGTAAGCCTGCTCCAGTGGCATCGATAACAACCTTGACTTCAGCAGCAGTATCCGTAAGTTCATTGATCAGCATTTCAATTTCCTGTTGAAGTATGATATAGAATTTCTTAGTAATGCCCAGAAAGTACAATTTAAACATTTTTAAAACTACTTCAGCTTCATTATTCAAAGCAATTATTGGTAAATGGTAATCCCCAGATACATTGCAAAGAAAGCCCTTTGGCCTATATCAAGGATATAATAGCGTAAACTTTTCTGGAGGCATCTATGAGTCTCTAAAAGACTGTGCACTCAAATTCTGCTACTGAAAAGGCAGCATGCTGTTCTTTAACAAAACAATGACGAGTTAGCTGAGAAGTTGTACTCTCTAGCCACCTACAGTCAACTGTGACTGTGCAGTCTGCCTATGTGGTTGCCCATATATGGGAATGGCATATGGTGACAGAAAATGTATTAACATCTTCACAAAAGGAAAAGGAAAAGTTGCCAATATTTGAGAAATCTTAACTTTATGCCGCTGTTATTGTCCTCTAACTCAAAGACCAGAATAGTCAGAGAAGATGAAGAGAAGAAGTGTGTTTTGCTGCCTTCTAGGAAGAATCCTGGTGTTGGAGGAGACTCTTGAGAGTCCCATGGACTGCAAGAAGATCAAATCCATTCTTAAGGAAATCAGCCCTGAGTGCTCACTGGAAGGACAGATCATGAAGCTGAGGCTCCAATACTTTGGCCACCTCATGAGAAGAGAAGACTCTCTAGAAAAGACCCCAATGTTGGGAAAGATGGAGGGCACAAGGAGAAGGGGACGACAGAGGACGAGATGGCTGGACAGTGTTCTCGAAGCTACCAACATGAGTTTGACCAAACTGCGGGAGGCAGTAGAAGACGGGAGTGCCTGGCGTGCTCTGGTCCATGGGGTCACGAAGAGTCGGACACGACTAAACGACTAAACAACAACAACAGGAAGAATCCCTGGACTCGCAGGGCTGGGCCAGTGAGATGGATGCAGGCGGGTATGCCTCACCCACCAATCCCTATTCATATCCAGTCCCAAGAAAATCCAGAAAGGGACTTGGGTTGTGCTTCCTGACAGCTGTCCAAGTGTCCAAGAGCTTTTATTTATCCCCTTCCCCTGTAACACTCAATGAGTTGACTTCTATGTCCCCAAGGTGTTGCCTGGCAATGACATTGCTGCCTTGCCATTTTGGTTTGGTTTTTGCTTCGAGCCTCCTCCTAGCTTTGCAGATACTGCTGTTTTGCTTCTCTCACATGGGGTGGTCTGAGGTAAGGGGGCAGCAGCAAAGCAATTACCTTTCTCATGGGTTGATATTTTGCCATAACAAAACTCCAAATAAATGGCTTTTAATGAAGGCGCTATGACACTGTATCTGAAAAGGGAAACATCACTTTTCTGGCCCAAAGTAAACCACAAATGTGGTAGTGTACACTGCCCCTAGTACTAGAACAATATGGTCATGTAATCAAATTGTTCGTAGTTTCACAAACAAACACCCAGTTTCTTCCACATCCAGTTTCACCAGTTCCTCCTCTCCTAACTAATCTGAAGAGTTGTAGTCAATTTCATTCATTCTTTCATTCAAAAGATGTTTCCCTCACTCTTCAGCTGGAAAAGATTCCAGAGCAGATTGCAAATCAATTTTGAAAAACAGAATAGCACAGTCTCTGCCCCTAGGCCTACAGACTAAAAAGACATGATGCAGAGAGGTTGGAGAGAGGAGACAAAAAACTAGCAAGCTTGGGCACTAAATGGTGTTGCCAAGATCTTTCAATGGCCAGTTTTCAATGGACATGGATGAGGCACTGGGAGTTCCGAAAATAGGTCAGCACTGGACTGGGTGAGGGCTACAAGTGAATCTCAGTCCAGACACAAAAGGAGCACTATGTGAATATGACAACACACCCAACCCCAATTAGGATCAAATTCACAGGGGTGGTGTTAGTTCTGGTCATTGCTCTAAATGGCCAGGGGTCAGCCATGGCTTTCCATCAACTTAGGCCAATAACCTACTTGTGGCCTAAGAGAAATCTTGGCCACATTTACCTATACTCTGGGTAGACTACTATATGTGATGTCTTTGAAGGTAACTTCTCTCTTATGAACAGATTAAAATCTGTTCTCATAAATAGTCAGGGCAATTTTACCCAGCACACTAAAATTAACTTGTTAACCTGGTATCTGTGACGAGTATCCATTCATCCATTTTCCTTTTGGAAAAGAACAAATAGCAATACTAGCTATAGCTAGCACTGAAAGTCCTATAACTCAGAGCCAAACCAGAAAGACTATCAAATTATTATTGCCTTGTTGGAAATGTAAAGGGGGGAAAATCACTTAGCATGAAAATTAAAAATTGTTTTTTTTTTTAATGCAGGTGAGATTTAAAAAAAAAATCAAGCTTTTACTGCACCTTCTTAGCTTGTTCAGCATGTTCAGATTGTTGGTTTACCCAATCTAAATCTTTGATCAATCTCTTTTTCCTCTCTGAGTAAACTTCAGATAGTTTTGCTACATTGTGGGACTCATGCGCTCCAAAGAGTTTGCAGATGGCACATATCGGCTTATCATCAGTCAGGCATACCTAGATGAGAATGGGCAACATATGTCATGTCATTGTCCAGCACAGCAAAAAATTTACACCACTTTTTAAGCTTCTAAATAAGACAATGCCTCAGAGCTGTCAGCTAACTGTATCTTAGGCTGCAATCCTTACATACTAACCTGGGAATAAGTCCTACTGAACTTAATGGAGCTTTCTTCTGTTTCTGTTGTTAAAATTAAAAAGACTCATATTTTATTTTCATTTACTCTTGCACCAGCCTAGTACTCACTGAATTATACCCTCTAATCTTGCTGCAGGAAGATGCTTATTATTATTTTTAAAGCACAAATGACCTTCCATGTTTGAACAGCAGAATGTCCTGAGTTTGCCCTGAAGTAAATGTGCCTTTTAATCAGCCAGCATCAGATTTCTCTTTAGAGAATTGCTTTTCTCTTTTTATCTGATGTGTTGTTATTGTTATACACTGGTGTGGTATTTTGCAATGTTTAGCAGTTAATACATATTACAAATTAACAACTGAAAATAAAGTAAAGCACTGCAGTTAAGTTAGTTTCATGAAAGAATAGGGGGGGGGGGAAGAGTGGTGGAATTATACCAAATTCATACGCTCTCCGTGTTCTTCACATATTTGGGACAATTGGTCTTGTTCTTTGGCATGCACATTTTCAAGCTCATACTTATATTTTTCCAAAATACTCTCCACCAGAATATTTCTTGGCAAGCCAATGATTCCTCTCCCTCTCAAGGGTATGATCTGAAAGTGAGATGAAATCATACAAATACATCCTGTAACATTTTGCTTCAAAGGTTTAATGTGGGGAAATGACATAATTGTTCTGTACCCGGATTTTCTATCGATCGGCATAATGTGAAAGTAAATTAAATGCTGCAACTATGCGATATGCACATCAGTTTCTTTTTAGTACTACGGTATGTGTATCCTTCGGGGTTGCCAATTCTTGTGAGCTAAAATGTTCCTTATAAATGATTGGAGAGGCCAATTTAAAGGTAACAGAGATAAACTCCTGGTCTACATGATAGCGGGAGCAATAATAGAAATTGCAAAACACAGGAAAACTAAGTGAAGTTCCATCTTTACAGGAGAGGCTACACAAAATATTTTATGCCATGATCAGGAACAAGGTAGGGAGTAATGACACACTCTCAACTGGGCCAATTAAAGGCAATTCCAGTTTGTCATGAAATGTGGTCTTTTTCAAATAGACTATTTGAAGGATAGATTTTTATAATGTAATGTTAAAATGTAGCCATTGGCGTATGTATTACAGTGGTACCTTGGGTTACAAACACCTCGGGTTACAAACAGTTCAGGTTGCAGACTCCGCTAAGCCGGAAGTAGTACCTCGGGTTAAGAACTTTACCTCAGGATGAGAACAGAAATCGCGCGCCAGCGGCGCAGCGGAAGCAGGAGGCCCCATTAGCTAAAGTGGTACCTCAGGTTAAGAACGGTTTCAGGTTAAGAACCAACCTCCGGAACCAATTAAGTTCGTAACCAGAGGTACCACTGTAGTTAAAGCAAGCTTGTTGGGCATGCGAAGTGGGGAGATAAATGTGATTCTATTTTTGGTCCTTTTTTGCCTGTGGTTATATATTTTGTACATGCAATTTGTAAATATTGGGTTGTATCCACTGCAGCGGGACGTGGGTGGCGCTGTGGGTTAAACCACAGACCCTAGGACTTGCCGATCAGAAGGTCGGCAGTTCGAATCCCCATGACGGGGTGAGGTTCCATTGCTCGGTCCCTGCTCCTGCCAACCTAGCAGTTCGAAAGCACATCAAAGTGCAAGTAGATAAATAGGTACCGCTCTGGCGGGAAGGTAAACGGCATTTCCGTGTGCTTCTCTGGTTCGCCAGAAGCAGCTTAGTCATGCTGGCCACATGACCCGGAAGCTGTACGCTGGCTCCCTCGGCCAATAAAGTGAGATGAGCGCCGCAACCCCAGAGTCGGCCACGACTGGACCTAATGGTCAGGGGTCCCTTTACCTTTATCCACTGCAGCATATGCCCAAGGGGGTCCCCTGTCCACTGCTCCCTACTGTGGCTCTTGCTGTTACCACAAAAAGCTTCTTCATGCCCAATACTCTGATTCCTACTCCCACAGGGCATGCAGGGGGCTGAAGTGAGGTGGAGAGGGGCATGGTATCCCCCTTGCCTGAGCACTGCAGGGGACACAACCCATTAGGAATGAAAAAGTCATACAGATCCCTGTGAGCTTGCACCAAGTTTACACCGCAGCTCTAGAACTGCTACATGAAGAATGTCGCTATCTGCAGAAGCAGTATGTTTCTTGCGATAGTGCTATTGCCATATATGTCAGCCCAGTTACTATACCTCTAACTGCCAGCTTCTGCTTTAATATTTCGCCGTTCATCTTGTAGCGTGAATGTGGGCAGTTGGAAACCCACTTGTAATATCGGAGAGGGCAATCTGTAAGCAGATTGCAGAGGGGGAAACAAAGCTCTCTCTAACTTACTTTTCTGCACATTGGGCAGGAGAACTGTCCATTGACATGGCTACAGTTCTGGCTGATGAGGATCTTCTCCAGGCACTTCTTGCAGAAATTGTGAGCGCAGGATAGGACCAGCACGGGGGGAGTGAACAACTCTAAGCACACCGAACATGAAAGCACCTGTGCTAATGCCTCCATGACATGGCTGCGCTCAAAAGAACGGAGCCTCAACTTGCCTTCTCTTCCAGCAGCATTCTCATTTAAGTTCTAGAATGGCACTGAAGGCCTTTCCAGAGCCATGTCACAGCAGCTCCATAGCGACATAAACTCAACGGTGTCACACTTTTGCAGAAGACCTTTGAGAATTGTGGTCTGTCATTGCCAAACCATGGAAACACAAAATTCTCACTATTTATGGTCACATCCAATGCTGTTCCCACTCAAAGTAAAGCTATTGAAATTAATGGACAGGACTTAGGTTCATTCGTTCCAATGGGTCTACTCAGAGTAGGACTTCACTGACTATAACCCTTAGTTTTCCGATTTAATTTATTAACTTAAAAGAACGAGATTGGCTTATATTCATCATGTGGCGTTGACCATCGCTGTGGGCCTGAAACTGACTTTGAAAAGCAGCTTTTGACTGTTGCACTATTGTCTGAAAGTGTCAACACAGTCTTGACCAAAAGACCAAGTCCCAGAAATGCAGGTTTGTGTTTTGCGAGCTCATCCACAGATCGTACCAAATATATTTCTTTAATAAGGAGTTTTGCCAACTCAAGCTCGGGTTTTAAGTTTCCTAGCTTTTTGCAATTGTCTGGCTAATGTTTCAATATTTCAGATAATGGTTCAAATTGTCCTCATTCCCATACTGGAGCAAATGCTTGCAAGCTGGTATTATAACAGAATTGTCTCTCCCTGAATCTGTTTTCCAATTCGTGAGTGCAATGGTCAATAACACTGTTCTAAGGCCTTCTCACTAAGGTTCATTTTCACTACTTCTTTCAAAATTAATAGCATCACTGTTAACAATACTTTCAGAAAACCTCTGTGGGAATTAACAAAGTCGTTCTGATGGTGCTTCATGTTCAGCAGATTCATATTCTTCAACAAAAGTGCTGAAAACGATTATTTCACATTTCTTGCAAATGCCTCCCAATCCATTTAAATGCTGTCTCAATATTCATATTCTTCTGGTGCAGTAGTGATGTTACAAGTTTAATATATTTCCAGGACGTTTAGCATAATTTCAGTAAGAAATACTGTAAAGGACTACAGATCCTGGTACACTGTGGGGGTCAGGTGGGATAGCTATGAGGAATTATGAAAAATGAAGCAAGCTATTGTGTCAGCAATGAAAGCATTGTGTTGACTGGGTTTGAGCCATTGACAATAATTTCTGATAGCAATCCCACCTGACCCCCACCTGACCCTCTTTCCAAAGCAGCAGTGGGCCTGCTGACAGATGAAGGGTTAGATTCAGTGCTGTTTTTGTCTGGTAAAAGCACTACCACATTGCCTCTGACAGGAGTTGCTGTTCTAGATTTGTTTCCTGCTCAAATACAGCCGCAACACGTGGCTAATGAATATAGTAAATGTGCTATTAGTAGTAGTAGAATGTCGCCCAAAATTTACAATTCAGCAACATCAAAATAATATATATATCAGTCCATAACCAAGTAGTCAATGAAATGAATTGCTGGTGGGGAACACCACGACGCCTTTCAATGGATGATGCCCAAGACAGTATATCCAGATTGAATCAACTGTTTCAAAGATGAATCTTCGTCAGCAAATAGTTTTCGATAGAATATCCATACAGGTAAATGTAATACTTGTGGATCAGAACTCACTAACCAGTGTAGCTAACCAGCCATTCCCCGCCAGCAATTCATTTCATTTTGGATGACATTCTACTACTAGTAATAACACATTTACTATATTCATTAGCCATTAGCAGATTATTCTGTATTGCAACACAGGGGTTTGTTTTTGTCACTAAATTTATTTCCAGCAGAGAAACTTAGAATTGATGTTTGCTTTGAAGTCCCGATGATGATCATAATAATCGTGGTGGTGGTGAATTGAAGATCTGCATTTCCTCCCAGCCAGGGGAAGATATAACTCCTGCCCCCCCCCCCCCCCCCCGTCTAGAAAGGCATAGAATCATACACCTTAGCCAAGAGTTGAAAAAATACAATTTGCTTATGAGGTAATTGATTGCTTCAGTTAATTGACTTCTTCCGATCCACAGCAAGCAGAGACTACTGAATCCCACCTCACCACTAGTGATTGCTCTGGATGGATATCATAGCAATGGATATCATAGCCATAGGGTCTGTTTGCTATTTCATCAGCCAGATAGGACAGTTGTGCTTGAACTCTTGAGTTCCTGATTGGTGAATTTAGATACGTAAGAACACACCAGGCCTGATAGTATTCTCTCCATTTTAATCTCTGCCTGCTGACCCTTCTCACATGATTTTTCATGGTAAGCAAATTCCACTGCAGCAGCAACACTCCCACCCCCGCCACCAAGTAAAATAGCATGGAAAGACAAGTGGCAGTTTTAAAAGCTTCTCAAAATGATCTCCTTTAAAAAAAAATCTATTCATTTCTCCCCACAATATAGTCAAATTACAACTACAAAAAAACCGGAGGGGGATTGAATAAGTAGAATAGAGTCTTCTCTTAAAAGTAATTCTTAGTCCTTACTACCCTCAGAGGACAGTAGCTCCTCCCAGCTCTCACCTGGGATCTTTCCTTTCTCATCCCAGCTTCTCATACTGGGACACCAACATTTAACTGTCTCTTCCCCAGGGTCCTCCATCAACCATCTACCACCCCCCAAACAGTGGACTCCAAAGAAAGAAAAAGAAGAGAAACGAAGACGGGAAACAGAAAATGGAATGGGACAATAAAAAGGAGAGGGAGAGAGAGAAAGAGAAAGAAAGAGAGAAGCATTAGAAAAAGATGCAAAAAGAAAAATTCTGATTTTCCATCTGCTGGCTTCATTTAAAAAAAAACAAACCGGTATTTAAAACTTTTAGTCCATGTTAATATCCATCTTCTGTTAAACAATATTTCTTTTAAGTAAAGGTGTCAGAACTTCTCAAAATCTCAAGCAGCAATCTAACCCTAGGAAGACAACTAAAACTGTCCGTACAGTGGTGCCTCGCAAGACGAAATTAATCCGTTCCGCGAGTCTCTTCGTCTTGCGGTTTTTTCGTCTTGCGAAGCACGGCTATTAGCAGCTTAGCGGCTATTAGCGGCTTAAAGAAAAAGGAAACAAACTCGCAAGACGTTTCGTCTTGCGAAGCAAGCCCATAGGGAAATTTGTCTTGCGGAACGACTCAAAAAACGGAAAACTCTTTCGTCTAGCGAGTTTTTCGTCTTGCGAGGCATTCGTCTTGCGGGGCACCACTGTATCTTATTCTGCCTCAGCAAGGTCTGAATGAGATGTTTTGGAATAATCCAGTTTTAAGGCTCTGGATTTATTGATTGATTTGATTTGTATGTTCACAACATACAATTTTTTTCTTAAGAGTCACCAGCAACACTCACCACCTCCCCAGTCAATAATCTATGTAGGAAATGAAGAGACTTTAAAACAATAACTTTTTTATTTATCTCCATGACACTATAATACAGGTCTCACATTTCAGTTTTCCCGACAAATGTGAGAATTATAAATTTATATGGTGTTATAAAGTCAAAATTCTCAATTTTCTAAAAAGGATCTATGAGCAATTGATTGCCTATCTTTGTGCTGCACGTCAAGTTTCTATTCCCCCCTATATGTTTGTTTTGGCATTACAGAGGAAAAGCTGTACATTTGTACAACAGTCATTAATAGAAGCTAATGTTTACTCACCACAAAATAAAATGTAATACCATTGTCGTAAACATCATCTTGTATACTTAGTGTTAATATGCAAACATTTAACGGAATAAACCATTGCGTATCATGGCACTGAAATTATGGCAATAGCTCAGTGTGAAAAAAATAGCTTATTAATGATAAACTTTCTAAAATCAATAAATTAAATACAAAATGCCACAGTACAGACACAAAATGGCAACTCATTAAATATTAGCTTATGTACACAGCCAGATAGAATTAGTTGTGGTTATTTAATAACCAACGTTATTAGTTAACATGAACCAAGGAATACAAAATATAACAATGGATGGTAAAGGAAAGATAGTCTTGGAAAGCTGCAGAAAACTAGCTTAGCATGTAAACATCAAAAGATGGTTTCTGTTTGGTCTCTGGAGTATTGTCTTTGGTGTTCCAATATCTGTTTAAAAATATTCTTCAGAATGCTGTAAATGTCCAAGCCACCTTCCGAATCAGAACTCACCTGCCGGAAGCAAACTTAAAGTTAATAAAATTATAACACATACATATCAGGCTTTATCGAAAGACAGTACTGTCTAATTCAAAACACAATGGTGTCTACAGAAAATGAAATATAAATCCTACATATAGAATCCTGCATATAGAAATTCAGAGTGTCTCATTTTACCTAGTACTAGAATATTATCTGAAGTTTACCACTTGAACTACAATGGCTATTAGATGTAGTTTATAAAATGGAGTAGCAGGAGCTAAATAGAGAACAGCACTTGCAAAATTAGCTGTTCAAATCTATTGTGAACTGGTATGGATGCAGTTTTGTCAAAAAGTAAATTATTACATCTGCGGTTGTCCGTCCCCCCCCCCCCGACAACTCCCATAATAGTGAGTGAATAAATAACTAACTAAATAAATAACCTTTATTTTCACTATACCACCTGTGTGCAGTGAAATTAAAAGAGCCCCCCCACATACACTCAGTCTTGACTGCGCTCTGTGTGCTTGTCAGAAGTCAATCGCACCACTATTTTTTTCCATTCAGCAGCCCAACAGCCCACAGATAAAAACTGTTCTTTAACCTGTTGGTGCGGCTGACTGTACTTCTGTATCTCCTGCCCGAAGGTAGGAGATTAAAGTGGTGCTGGCCAGGGTGTGAGTCGTCCCTAAGAATTTTCCTCGCTCTCCTGAGGCAGCGGTCTCCCGCGATGTCATCTAGCAAACTCTGGGGACAGCCCATGATATCATGTGCTGTGTTCACCACCCTGTGTAGGGACTTCCTGTCCGTGACTGTCAAACCAGCATACCACACTGTAATACAGTATGAAAGGACACTTTCTACTGTGGCCCGCTAAAAGGAGATCATCAATTTTTGTTTGACATTGCTCTTTCACAAGACCCTGAGGAAATGGAGTTTCTCTTGGGCCTTCCTAACCACCTGGGTTGTATTGATTTTCCAAGTAAACTCCCAGGAATTTAAATGAAGAGACTCTCTCCACACAGCCCCCCCTCGATATACAACAGGGCTAGTTCCCCTCTCTTCCTCCGAAAGTCCAACACCATCTCCTTTGTCTTGCTGATATTTAATGATGATGATGATGATGATGATGATAATAATAATAATAATTTATTATTTGTACCCCACCTATCTGGCTGGGTTTCCCCAGCCACTCTGGGCAGCTTCCAACAAAGATTAAAAATTAGGTGCAAGGTGTTCTCTAGGCACCATGTGGAGACTTTCTGAACCTCCTCCCTTTACGCTAATTCATCTCCACCTGTAATTAGACCGATTATGGTGGTATCATCTGCAAACTTAATAATTGCAGTGGATGGATCAGATAAAATACAGTCATATGTATACAACGAGTACAGGTAGGGACTCAGAACACATCCCTGTGGGGTGCCAGTGCTGAGCTTCAGAGAGGTAGATGTAACAGGTCCAATCCTCACTATTTGTGTGCGATCCCTCAGAAAGTCTTTAATCCAATCACAGATGGTAGGGGAAAGGTCCAGGTCCATCAGCTTTTTAATAAGAATGTCCGGAAGGATGGTATTAAAAGCCGAGCTATAATCAGTACAGTGATACCTCAGGTTAAGTACTTAATTCGTTCTGGAGGTGCGTACTTAACCTGAAACTGTTCTTAACCTGAAGCACCACTTCAGCTAATGGGGCCTCCTGCTGCTGCCGCGCTGCCTGCACAATTCTGTCTCACCTGAAGCAAGTTCTTAACCCGAGGTACTATTTCTGGGTTAGCGGAGTCTGTAACCTGAAGCGTATGTAACCCGAGGTACCACTGTAAACAGCATTCTGACATAATTCCCCAGTCTCTCCAGATGACTCGCTGCAAGGTGAAAAGCTGTGACTATGGCATCATCTGTTGACCTATTTCTCCTATAAGCGAACTGGTGTTCATCAAAATCTGGTGGAAAACATGTCCTAAGGTGTTGAAGAACCAATCTCTCAAAGCATAGGGAGACACAGAGCTTCATTCCCCCCCCCCCAAAGCAAGGTTGTAATTGGGAGCAGAGTCCAAGTGGGTGGCTTCTGAAGCAGTCGGAGCTGAATCAGTTTGCTTTCCAAATCGCCAGATCAAGGTCCAAAACAAATCTTGTTTTGTGGTGCCCACCCCTAGCAAACAAGCAAGCTCCGTGTGGATACTGATTGACACCAGAATTCTATAGCCCTCCGTAGGTGTGCACCCACACATTAATTGGCTCCAGCGTACAGTACATTTGGTTCAGATTCTTTCCATGAAGTGCAATGTTTGAAATAGTTTACCATCAGGTTAATTATGGTCAGCGTTCTAGGCTAGTCTGTGAGTTACAAAAGATCACAATTTCACATTCCACTTGCCTTTGTAAATGCTTTAATGGCACGATCAAGGAGAAGGTCCTCCACGTACATTGGTATGGTCTGCAATTGCACCACGCAGTTTAAAATGCACAGTATAGTGTGATATTTTCCCTGATGGGGAGCGGAAAGACATTGTTAGTTAGGAAATATTTTAAAGACACCAATGTGGAGGAGATACCGACCACAATCCAACAGCATTTGGCATGCTTGAAGCTATACGATTCTATAAAGAGAGCGTGAACTCTTTCCTTCACAATCACCTTTGTGATTTCCACTAGTGAAAGAGCAAACCACACCTGCTGAAATGCCCTCTTCTGCATAAGCACAAAATGTCCTCTATTAAAGGGTGGAGAATCTGTGGCCCTTTGGAGGATGCTGGATTCCAGTTCCTATCAGCCCTAACCAGCATGGCCAATGGTCAGAGATGATGGAAACTGTAGTCCAGGAACATCTGCAGAGCCACAGGTGCTCCTCCCCTTTAAGCCTGTTAAAGTCAGTGGCATTTATCAACAGTATTCACTCATAGCAAATGTAGGCAGGGCTGGATTAACCATAAAGCAAAATAAGCATATGCTTAGGGCACCAAGGGAAGGGGGGCACCACAGAAAATTCCCATTGCCAGATTTACCACCTGAACAAAAATAAACATTATTTATACAAATATAGAAAACTAAACATTATTTTCCATCCTACTGTAAGTTCCATTTCATTTTGAAAAATAAAATTTTATTTTATGGTTTACTGCGGTTTATATTTTGAATTTGATATATATGGGGGCACTAAACTCTCTTAAGTGCTTAGGGCCACTAAGGATCTTAATCAAGCCCTGAATATAGGCTACTCAATAAATTATGTCCACTTGAATTATGTATTCAAATGCAACAAACAAAAAGGTTTCCCATCAAAAATTTACAAATTCTGAGCACAGGTGACTAGCATACATGGAAAAGAACATTTCTCTTGAATATGCCCCACTAACATTTGCCACCCAGTAGACTGGACAAAAAATAGTTCTTATAAGACCTCTAGATCGGTAGCAAAAAAAAAAGGTAAGTGATATGAAATACAGCATGCACTTATAGGGCTCTCCCACCTAGCCATTATAAGTTACCAAGAAAAGAAAGTAAAAGCTATTAGTAAAAGGGGAACATGAACATGTTTAAAGGCAGAGAGTGACATGGTATAGGAGGCAAAATGAAGGGTGGACATATTTTCATAGTGGTATAGACATACACAGGAGGGGGGGAATGCAAACATTACTCTTAAGGGTCATGCAAAAGATAAATAACCAAGGAACCCACATTGGGATAATATGAAAGAGGGTATGCAGAAACGTAGGGACAGATACAAGTACCATGAAGGAAGAGGCCTTAGTGAATGTACATTTGTTAAGCTGTATTTTTTGTGATAAGGAAAGTGACAGGAAAATGCACTGGGAAGTATAGGGTAACTATTTATGCAACATTGTATAACCTCTGAACAAACAAATTAGAATGAATGCTCAATAAATAGCTGACATCACAAACTCCCTTCAAACTATGTGCAAATAAATCATGACGTCTGGAAGCAACCAAAGGCAAGGAGATGTGTATGCCGCATTTGTGTCATCTTATGCAAAATGCTTTGTGAGGTCTTTCTGAAAAGTGGTATATAATTGCCTTAATACATTAAATGCTTACCTTGTCTAATAATTTAAGTGCTTCTTGAGGGTCTACGTTGTTTTTTGCTAACACATCTACATCATTTTTGGTTAGAAGAGGTTCTTTAAGTTGCTCTATCCAGGACCACATCAAACTACTGAGGATAAAAGGATCTGTCTCTCCGCATATCCTATCCCAGGCTCCATTCTGAGAATTCAGTTCTTTCTAAAGATAAAAAAGAAAGAAATCCTTGTCAACTTTCTATAAATTGTCTTTGCTTTAGTAACGTTAGGGTACAATTCTATAAACACAGACCCCTTTTGGTATAATCACACAGAGGAAGGAAGCAAGGTTGTGCCACCCCCCAATTTTGTCCCATTCCCAAATCCCTGCCTGCCATACATGCATGGGGGATGAAATGTCTGAAGAGCATTTGTTCCATTTGTGATTTAGCACTCTATGTGACCGTGGTCTTCAGGGAGGGGGGTTGTTGGGAATGGGACAGGAGCAGCAGAGGCAGACCTGCTCTCTTTCTCCACGCTTTTACAATTCTATGGAAAATAATGCCTTCAGGCAGCTTATGTACACACGCTCTTTGTGTGTGTGTGAGAGAGAAAAGATAATGGGGATATGGGGCAGAGAGCATTTGTTGGGGACCGTCAAACTACTTTCCCCAAAGCCTTCCACTTTTTGGGTCCAGTTTAGAAGCAAACAGATTCAACACGCCTGGATGCATTTGTGGTGCCAGCTCCAGGATCTGGGCCCCCTCCAGCCAATGCATTCTTAGTAGGCTTCCTTGACCTGGATGAGACAAGTCTTGTAAGACACAGTGCCCTTGACCTTCATGGGTAAAAGGTAAAGGACCCCTGACAGTTAAGTCCAGTTGCAAACGACTCTGGGGTTGTGGCTCTCATTTCGCTTTACTGGCCAAGGGAGCCGACGTTTGTCTGCAGACAGTTTTTCTGGGTCATGTGGCCAGCATGACTAAGCCGCTTCTAGCGAAACCAGAGCAGTGCATGGAAACGCTGTTTACCTTCCCGCCAGAGCAGTACCTATTTATCTACTTGCACTTTGACGTGCTTTTGAACTGCTAGGTTGGCAGGAGCTGGGACCGAGCAACAGGAGCTCACCCTGTCGCGGGGAATCGAACCACCGACCTTCCGATCGGCAAGCCCTAGGCTCAGTGGTTTAGACCACAGCGCCACCCACGTCGCTACCATCTTGGGTACCCCATGCAAAGTGGTTGTGCTGGTGGGCAACAGGCCCACGACTGGCCTTCAAGTCCCTACCTCACTGTCCAGGACAACTGCAAGCGGGGAATGGCCGGGAGGTATGTGTTAAAGCACCTGCTGCTTCAAACGGAGTCTTTCTTACAAATGCCTTCCTCTTGTTTTAGGATTTAATGTAAGCAGAGAGTTTAGGACCCTGTGTTGACTCATAAGCAGGAGGTTTGCCCTTAGACTGCATTACATTCATACAAAAATTGAAGGGTTTGTCACTGCTTAAAACCTTTTGCACTTGCATGCCCATTTTGGTTTCAGGCTGTGTTTTGGTAAAGAGCTGACTCCCATGTTCCTCAAAATATCTGCTCAAGTATTGTGAAGGAGCACTGAAGGGGAGTGTGCACCAGTTTGATGAAGTACTCACTTTGCCGCAACTGAAAGAGGAGCAGTAGTCTTTTTACAGATGACATAAGTCTGGTTCTAGAGCCCAGCTTTGCACGTTAATTGCATGTGTACAACAAGAACACCTGCTTGTCCCTAGATTAAGCAAATACAACAAAGCTAGTGGCTACAGTGTCTTATCGTTGAAGGGCATGAAGTAGGGCATAGTAAGCACCCCTGAGTATGTTCTCTTTATAGAAGAAGAGTTTGGATTTGATATCCCGCTTTATCACTACCTGAAGGAGTCTCAAAGCGGCTGACAATCTCCTTTTCCCTTCCTCCCCCACAACAAACACTCTGTGAGGTGAGTGGGGCTGAGAGACTTCAAAGAAGTGTGACTAGTCCAAGGTCACCCGGCAGCTGCATGTGGAGGAGCAGAGACGCAAACCCAGTTCCCCAGATTATGAGTCCACTACTCTTAACCACTACACCACACTGGCTCTCTATATATAGCTTTATATTTTTGATAGCATAAGCTTCAGTAGGAAGAATGGCCTTTACTGGTATGACTTTATGCTCTCTGAAAGCAAAGATGTTATAGGATTCCCGCCTCTCTCCCTCCCCTTCCTGGAGATGCTCTCCTGAACTAGACATGTGTGCAACATTTACAAAATGAAAATACCTGCCACATCTCCACTTTTTTCTCTTTTTCTTCTGATCCCATAAACTCATTCACATCTGCCAGGGCCTTGGCTGCCAAGGTTCTTCGTGCCTCCAGAGTTAGTTCTGACTGCACAACGATATGGGGGATCGATTCACAGAGATCCCGAATATTGCGGATCTCATGCTCTGCTTTTGAAGCGTCTGAGTCCTCAGAGGACCACATTTTTTTGCCATAGCCATAGCTATTAGCTTTTCTGCCACAATTATAGTTTAGTGCTTTTAGCTCTTCTTCGTCTTCCTCCGCCTCCTCTTCCTTCCGATCACTCGAAAGGCCCGAAGAAAAGGTTTGGCTACGCTGCACTTCTCCGGGATACCTGCTTTTATGGAAAAATGGAGAATTAGCTTCTTTTCCATCTAAAGGCGTCCTGTCCTGACACGAGAAAGTAAATGTACTACGGATTAAGAGTTCTTGGGTTAAATCAACCTTGAGAGTCTGGCAATTGTTCGGCGGGTTTGTTTTGCTGCAGAGTGGCACTTGCACAGGCACCGACCAGGGGGTCTCTCCTTGCTCACAGACAAACACCGCTCTTCTCAAATCTGAGTCGCTGTAGCTCAGGCGTCTTTTTGCACGACCCAGAGGCTGAAGGCAATCAACGTTCCTCCTCTTCCAAAGAGGATCACATTCATGTTCATTGGGATGAAGAGGATTGGCTCCCGAGAGAGAAAACGGCTCTGAAGCACTACTGTCTTGCCTTGTCAGCTCTTTATCAAGCTGCGTGGAAGCTAGCTGAGAAACGGTCTCTTCAATCTCAGCGGACAGGTCGGGAAGGTCCACAAGTTCCTCTATCACGTGCCGGTTTTCAGCCAAGTCCAAGAGCAATTTGCAAACCAGATGAATAAGCTTTGGCACGTACTTGAGGTTCCTGCTCTCATAACCATGGAGCAAATGCCGCTGCCGGATCAGGTACTGGGAAAGAGTGACGGCGTGTGCTTTGGGTTCACAGGATGCAAAAACATTCCTGAGAGGAATCAAGAACTGTGAAAACTCCCGCACACACAACAGCTGTCCTCTGGTTTGGATAGAGTTAGGCCTTTTTGCCCTGACAAAAAGGATTGCTTGGTCTGCTGTCATTCGTGTGGCAAAAACCAAGTAACAAGCTATTAAAACACCTGGAAGGTAAGTAAAGGACAAAAAAGAAGGAGGAAATGTTGAATTTGTTAGGTGAAAACAAAAATGTAATTATCAAAATAGCACAGAGCGTACGGATGCAGGTTCATGTTCCTTCCAATAGAGCAGCTAGCCGAAGCTGCTGCCAGTTATGAAAATCAATTCTGCCTTGTAGGAGCTCCTCCAGATTATTTTCCCCCCACTGCACCATACTTGTTTATTTATATAAAGAATTGCACATTTACTTGCTATAGAAACATAGAACAGCTTCCAGAACAAAAAATTATTAGAAACCAACAACCTTGAAACATCTACACTGAGTAGGTGGCAACAAATTTACTTAAGGATTACATCATCACCCAAAACGGGAGATGAAAAAATTGGGAAATTGTTTTGGAAACCAATAGGTCTTTACTAGCGGATGAATGGAGGTCAGGGAAGGCACAGACTGAGCTTTTCTAGCAGTGCTTCCCCTGATTTAGAGGAATGAGAAAGCAGTTCTTAACAATAATAAAGCAAAATATCTGCAAAAATTACAAGGCATTGGTGCCTATAAGGGGAAGGAAGGAGTGGCCTTGTTCCTGTTACCACATTTTGGGTTTTTTTACAAAAAGGGCTAGATGAATACACTTATGCCTGAGGGATACTTTGGGAAAGAATTAAGTAGGGTTTTTTAAGTATGAGCATGGAAAGTGGGATGGTGTTGAAAAGGCACTTCATGGATATGGCACAAAAGCTTCTTAAATAGCAAGTGCCTCTAGAAATGCTATCCCCACCTCCGATTTCCCCTTTACAAAAGCTCTCATGCCAAATCCTTTGAACACAAAGACCAGTTTGGGAGTTGTGTGGCACATCTGAGAAGAAAATTGTGAAAAATGCCTGCATGCAGCCTTTGAAACAATGAGGGCGTTGTGCTAGCATTTCTATCAGAATAGACTTCATTATATGAATGTATCAAGGAATCTACAAAGGAATCAAGGAATCTAAATTATCATTATTTTGCATTTTATAACAATACATTCTCAGTGAATTTATAGTTGAGCATTTTTACCTGTTCTGCCAAGTCCTGCATGACAATGAATAGCTACTCTTCCCTT